CTTCCTTTGTGCTCACATTTGCAATCCCCCCCTCCGCCCTTTCAAACGTCCCATGGCAAATAAAAACAACACGTTGTATTTTATTAGCGCCTCGGATTATATATGCACATACACACACACACATATAAAATTTTACAGACAATTATCGTTGGATTTATGGTGTCGATTTTACTCGCTGGTTTAGTCCAAGGAAGAAGCCGGGCTGGCAGCGGGCTAGATCCGGGACGGCAAAATAAGCTGAATAAATAAAAAATAACATAAAATAAAGAAGGCTTCTTTCGAGTGGAAGATTTCTGCACCCACCCTTCATGACATCCAGTCGTTCCCCAAGCCAAACTGAGCTGAGAAACAAGAGAAAATAGCCAAGATTGTGAGCGGACTGAAATTTACCCTTGTTTTGGGCGGACATTTTACTGCTCTGCGTGGATATCCTCCATAACATGATCCCACCCCACTTCTGCACAACCGAGCAGTGCTGGCGAACATAGGGAAGAAGGAAAGCCTTGTTGTTGCACGAACACATGCTTACATGCATATATATATATGTATATATATGTATTTATTTAAAGCAAAATAAGATGGAACCCACTTATGGTCTTGACAGAAGTTGTTGTTAGGAAAATTCAGAGCCATGCAGTGCAATAAAAGAAAATGACTGCTGTAACCGTTTATGGGGTGTAAAACGCTGCAGGGTTAAAGACAAGAAAAAAAAAAATTGTTAGGGAGCCGGCAAGATGTTTGCAGATGTGCAGAATTAGAGGAGAAGAAAAAAAAATCCGCTTTACCTGACAGGAAAAAAAAAAAAAAAAAGGAATCCGGGGTAAGAGTCGAGGAGCTCTAATTAGTGTCGGGGAGCTGGCTCTGGTGGGCTCACAGAAAGCCCCCTAATTGCTCCCCGAGCCGGTATTTGGGGATGCTGGGACGCCCTCTGTTGTTGCAGACGGAGGCGACTTCAAAGAATCGGCATTAAGAGTGTGTAATAAATGACGGGTCTGCAAACTGTCTGGAATTCGGCCCTTAATGAGTTTACAACTGTCCAGCCACAATTAAGATTTCCCACAAAAGCCTTTTCATTTGTTTTGTCTGGCTGTTTTAGATAAAGCGGGCGAGCGGAAATAACAACCTTTTATTGCCCCCTCCTCCGGGCCGCGGCGGGGCGGGGGGCAGCGGTGGCCGCGCGCGCGCGCGGGCGGCTCCG